CGGTGCGTTGGGAAGTCGGGGTCACTTGCGAGGTTTATGCACCGTGGTTCCGATTCTCCTCGGCACGTCTGGGTGGCCACACGTGAACGGTTCGCAGGCACACTTGCACACGTGCGTGTGAATGCAGGGGCTTTTAAGAACGCGGGCTGAAGTCGACTTGGGGATCAGGAGCGAGGTCTCCAGGCTTCAACCCCTGTCTCAGAAATGTCTCGGCTTTAGTTCTGGGTTGCGATTCGACATCAGACTTCGGCGGTGAGGCAAAGGCAAGGTTGATCAGAGAAAAGGCATCGTTTCCCAGAGTCCAATGTTTCCATCCAATGTCCCCCACCGCCGCCCCCGCCNACCCCGCAAACCCGCTGCCCGTTCCGACTACCACGGAGAGCGCCTGGGAGAACCATTTGGGGAGCCCCGGAACCCGCGGCCGCCACCGCGGCGGCAGCCCCAGGCTGGCGGCGTCCGGGCGCCTCTTCCAGCCGCACTGCTCGCTGCCTCCTTGCCCTGCCTGGGCTTCAGGAACCCCGTGCACACCCCAAAGAGGTATTTTTAAAAGGGTGGCTATGATGAGTGGGCCCTGGAGATGTGAGACGGGGTAAGTCTGTCATTTACTTTGCAAAAGCGGCTCGTGTGTGTGCATGTGTGTGCGTGTGTGTGCGTGTGTGTGTGGCCGGGTGGTTTGCTTTCCCTCTCCGCCCTCCCTCCCCTTCTTCCTCCCTGTTCCCTTCCTTCGCTTTGGGGCGGGGTGGGGGAGGAGGCGGCTTGCGTCCTGGAACTCCGGGTGCTTCTGCCTGGGCGGCCGTTCGAGCAGATGTGCCCAAAGCCGCGGGTCTGGCCTGGACTGGGCTCCAGCCCGAGCGGCTCCATGCTGCTTAACGCAGGGATTTGCAGGGTGGTGATCCTGGGTCTCCGTTTTTGTGTTTCTTTTCTTTTTTCTTTTCTTTTTTTTTTTTTTTCTTTTGGTGGTGGTGGCAGGGGAGGACAAGTACAGCCCCCCACCTCTGCCCTCCAAAAAAAAAAAAAAAAAAAAAAAATCTGATCATCTGAAAATGTGCAGCGCACACGCGAATTTCTATCGGAGGTGAATTTCCCAGTCAGAATGTCAGCCTTCCCTGGCTCATTCAACTTTTATTTTCTCAAATTTTTGGTCTCCTTTGATGGCAAGCAGGAGGGGAAAGGGAGTGGGGTGAGAGGAAGCTCTTTGCCCCTTGCTAACCAGAACTGAATTAAAGTTGTAAACGCTCTAGTCTAATACTGACTGGACACAA